GGACTAGATGATATAACTCCACTAAGTCACATGGACTAGATGATATAACTCCACTAAGTCACATGGACTAGATGATATAACTCCACTAAGTCACATGGACTAGATGATATAACTCCACTAAGTCACATGGACTAGATGATATAACTCCACTAAGTCACATGGACTAGATGATATAACTCCAAGAATGTTTAAGATGTGTACAACACAGATTACACCATCATTATGTCTTATCGCTCGTACGGACACCCATCATGGGCGTTGTCAGGATTCCCACGGGTGACGCTTGTATTGGAACAATATCAAGCGTATCTTCACATTGCTATCAATGAGCATGGTTTCTAAAACAATATCCGTATCGCTTTTAGCACGTATGTGGTATATGGGCAGCTAACAGTGTATGACACCACGTGTATTAATATAATTCGTAAAACATTATCGCTTGCGACAAATCAGCCTATAGAGCATTTCCCCATGAATGTGGAGGTGCTAAAATCACTTTTGTATTTTTATTCAATGTATTTTCTGGAAACTTATGCGGATGTATTGAATTACTCGCCTATCATAAAAAGGTGTTTTGAGTCATGTGATGTATCATTTTGGATCACGTGATTTACCTTATAAAAAGACAGACTCGGACTTTAATAATACAGATACAGACTCAGATAGACTCAGACATATACACCGGACCTAGTAAACTTGTTTGCTCTCTAGGCTTGGCCGTTTGGCCAACGCCCATGGATAACCATTGTACTCTATGTTTCTTTATCCCGATGTCATCTCCCCAGTCCCGATGTCACCTCCGATGTCACCTCCCCAGTCTTAATCATTTATTGACAATTAGTAAAACTATTCATTTTGTGTCATTTGCCAGCTGAATGGAAATCAACAAATGTGTTCCCGGTACGTAAAAGATGACTATATATGACTAACATAAATCATAAGTGAAATATTGGAAAATGTAATATGCAAGAGAATTATTGAACATTATGGTAAAAATAATAACTTGGCAAATCAGTAGCACGGTTTCAGAAGACACAGGTTTTGTGAAACTCAATTATTAAATACGATCCATGAATGGTCTGCTGAGCAGAGGCAAAAGTCTATATGTAATTGTATTGGATCTTACATAACCGTCTCATACCGCCTTTAAATTACAAAGCTATGGTATCTGTGGGAAAAAAACAACTAGATTATATAAGCACAATATGAAGTGTGAGACCTCTCATTGTCGCTTCGATTGTACATTCCTTTACAACTAATCTTACTAATCAAATTCTAACAGGTTAACATGGTAGCAATATATTGCACCAAAAATTTCCATTTTCCATTTTATATAACATACCGTATTTATTTGCATTTAATGTATGTCTTTATTTTTTTCTGTTTACTTGATGTTGTTTAAAGGGTGGCAGTCGTCGTGCGGCGTCCTGTTCGATATGGGACTCAGAGCGACGTATACAACGCGTGTAAAATATATTGTTTATTTACATGAAATTCGAACACGCGCTGCGCGACGACCACCGCGCTTTAACTTATTTATATAGGCGACAGTCTTTGATCAAAATTTAAACAAATGTGTATATTTACTAGAATAATGTATAAGACTGGCATGTCTCCAAATCCTACAGTTGATCGCTAAATTATAAATAGCCCACCCACGGTATTTGGGAATTCGGGGAGGGGATCATCTTCCAGAAAATGAAATTATGCACAAAAAATGTTTGAAAATACCTGTGCGTAAAACTGAGCAACCAACGTGACACGGCAAATTAAAATGGCATTCAGCCTTCGTAATGCTGTTATAACTCACTATATAGAGTCTATTGAGAGGTATTTGAGCTTGTGAAAATGCGTAGATAGCGAGAAAACAGTCCATAACTAGTGGAATCACCAGCGGTATACAACTAACCGACATCTACTACATATTATTATTTTCACTGAGAGAACACGTCCCATCTAGTTGTTTCCAATAATTGAGGTAAAAATTAAACGTTAAAACATGTATTGCATTTCAAACTACATCATTTTTGTCAATTGTTATTATTTTTGTATGGTGTTTAATGTTCATTGCCTTCTAGGTTTCTTTGTTATTGTGGAAGGGAAATGATTATCTGTTTAACCATTATATGTAACTCCAAATTATAATAATAAAATCATTTTTTGTCACAATTCGTTTACTTTGATTCATGTTTTATTCCTCAGCTCCTGAGAGCGAGGTTATTTGTAGATATGTTGGCGATCGCCACTGTCACGGTGTCTGCGGAAGTACTATGGGAGATTGCATGATGGGAGTGAAAATTCCTTTGATCTGTAAAATAATTTTAGAAAAGTGACAACTAAAGTGACTGTTTTAAAGAAAATGAAATTTCGATGTAATAATTAAAGGAAATTGAACTGGTATGAACGGCATTACATGTAGCCTAAACGCAAGGTCAGAATCCGGGGACAAAATACGCCACAATACATCCATCAAGGCGGTTGCAAAGTGTCAACTATGGATGAGGTAAAAGACTTCGTTTGCAGTTTGCGTGAATGGCCGGGGAGAAAAATTCATGCAAATTCTGTGCTTTAGTAACAGTATTTGCTACTTTTTTGTGCAATGCTGCCAAAAGACAAAAGTAAACAAAACAACCATGGGACGTTTATCTTGAGAAATTGAGAAGACGAAAATCCCTTGGGACAGTCGTTGTGAAACAATAGACATGCTTCGCCAGGGTATCAAGGTTATTTTGATTATTTGAAGATGGAAACTGCTGCTTTATGGAAGAGCAAAGTTCAATGTCATTGGCACAGTTATGACGTTTTTAGAGGGGTGACTCGCTAGCAGTAGTCGCCGTGACTCCAGACTTTTCATTCGGGTTTATACAACACTTAATTGTTACTATCAAGAAGGTTTAATGTCTTGTTTGTATTTGCACAATGTGAATGAGGGGTTTATTGTCAAAATATATACAGGTGCTTGTATGCCTATTGAAACTATACAAAATTCGACCAATGCACAGTTGTTTCATGTGTTAAAAGAACGTTGCGATATTCTCATGGAATTGTTAAATCTTGGTATCATTGCCAACGGTCGCCAAACTGTACGTTTTGACGACTCGTATATACTTCTGGAACTTGTAAAAAATGTTTTGGAAACTGTACAGCAAATCACATATTTTCCTTATTAACTGTTCATAGTTTTTCTAAATTTCAGTTTTTATTGTTCATAATGACTTACAGTAATAACATATTTTTCCGATTGTGTGCATGACAGCTTTGCCCACACACATTAAGACATGATGATATGTACGGATATGTGTGAGTATGTTTCATGGATTAATAGGCCACTCATTTGCTTCAATTCCAACTATATCTCTGGAAATATCACTCACTGTTTATCATCTATATTTTGATATCCCACAATGTGTCGATTGCGTATCTCAAAACTACTGTTTCGCAAAATTTGACCAGCCTTGCTTCTACCAGTCATAAGCTTTCCGAAAATATATAGTTTTGTGGACAAGGAAGGTCATCTTGTATGTTTTTGTTTTGTTTTTTTCGTTTCTATTTCTCTGACATTTGCCTATGATATATTTCGTCTGGCGCCCCCAAGTGGCGACGGTGTATTCTGTCATCGGAGGGCGCAATAACATTGACACAACGGCCGACGATTTTGTTATTAGTAGTTTCGGGCTGTAGTTTGGTCTTTATTTGAATTGACTTGTATACCAAATGTAACTCACACTTCCTTAAGTGGCGATGCAGACGCCATAACCAATAAATAATTATTATTAGTCTGTATAATAAACTAAACAAAATACACATATAATCAAAGTAATATCGTCATAATTTTCAAGTTCGTTAAAAAAATATGAACGACTATGATCACCTAGCTGTCTAATTTTATTCAAGCTCATGAAACCGATTTTTGCTGTTAAAAAAACAAAACAAAATAAAGTCAAATTAAAAAAAAAATAGTATTGCAAATTATTTTCATGCCATGTCATGTAAGGAAACAAAAAGAATGTTACTGTTTGCTATTTGCCCGATACAATTCTTTTTATAGGGAAGTAATATAGTTGTATTGTATTATATTCCAAGAAATGTCGTAAATGTAGTTCATTGTCTGTATTAACTTTAACTAGTTAGATCTATAATTTGGATTTAGATCAGTTCAGTTTTTTAGTTTTTTATTCTCTCATGATGTGTAAAATATTACAATCCTCCCGAAAACGAATAAATTCTTACTCCAAAAAATACCAAACCAGATGTTTTCTATTTGCAGTTTCTTTAAGTATTTCAATAACATTTTGTTTTCGATATTATCAGAGACCTTTTGTCATTTTCTCCCAACAAGTTGTATTTTCATTGCAGCGAGGTTTTGAACTTGTATCACACTACCGGAAGTAAACATTCAACATGGCGGCTAGCTCGAAACGGTGAAATTCATTATGCGGCGAAATTACCTTCGTTAACTAGTTTGACACGTCGGTTGTCGCGAAGTGTTAGAATTATATGTCTTCTAACCTTCAGTCGTTCTTGTCAAGCTAGCTGGGGTTCATTCTAAATGCCAAATGGCGAGTTCCGAAGGTAAGTCTCTCTCGACATCCCCGGCAAGTGAGATTGAAATTCGATCTGATGAACACGCTAATGCTGTGTACGATTCACCACGGTTCTTTTATACTAACCGTGGATTCATCTTACTATCGTTCTTATTTTTACAGCTAACATCGTACACGGAGCGTCGATGTGGAAGTCTTATTGTAAGTACAACACAGTTCATTCCATTCTATGTTCTCCGTAACCTTATTTGTGCTGTTGTGGACGTTTAAATTTAATTACGTGAATTGCCCCAGTACTCTTTAGCTCATTCTGTTAGTGCTATTAACACGGAAGATATAAAAGAGACGTGCAACCATTAAAAATATTTTTACTATAGTCATTTTATCTGGTAGAGGTCGGTTTGCGGGTCATGCAAGACCCTACGTGGGTTTATCGTGTCGTCTTTGGAATCTCGAATACTGCATTAACGAAGATATACATAGTATAATATGGAAAATATATAAATAACAACATTAGTGTATGGTTACATGCAGAATTTAGAAAGGTTTTCATTTCCTCAAGTTGTATTTACTGGTATTCTCTGATCTTATTGTTAACTACCTTATTCTCAGTTGGTATTTGAAAACTGTTCAACCTGTGGTTCGACCAATATCAACTGTGATTATAATGTCAATGCTGGATGAGTATGAATTTAAAAGTACCTTATACTTATAGCATATCATCCACTCAACAATCCTACCAGATTAGCCTAATAACAATATATAACGTTACATTTGCACAATAAGATCTTTCCAACTATAGAATATCATACTGTCAGTTCATTCAATGGTCTTTGTTGTACGATAAGTTGATACGTATTATTTGTTTAACCCTTGTGTGGTCAAGTCAATATAAAAGTACCTGGGCTGACAAGATTACGAGTGGGGTTAATTGACCCTTGACATGAACAGATCGAGAATTATATTTTATAGGATTTGTTTCTTTGTAAAATAAAAATTGAAACCTGAAATATACGAACAAGATTTATAGAAATCTTGCAAGGGAGCCCAGGAACTATGATCAACTGTACGCAGTCCCTATGAACTGGGGGGGGGGGGTATCAGCTGGTATCCAGTGTAAGAAATAGACAAGGGGGTGAAGGCTCAGCCAGCTCACATTTTTTAAACTTGAAAAAACAGACGAACAGAATGAAAAATAAAATCTATAAAAAATACCAGGTTGAAGAATATTAGTTGATCTTTCAAATTTTGCCAAAGCCTTACCTATATTTTACCTACCGAGTATATCTGCAGAATAAATCAAGAAAACTACACAAATTGACTCCATTCGGTTGG